TTCCTTTGCAGTACTATGATGATTAAGTAAATTCAAACATAATAAACAGAAAGACCAACCATGGAATAGGGCAACTGGAGAAATGGTAAGAGTCGAGAAATTTATTTATTTATTTTTTAGTGCCGGAGATCGAACTCGGGTCCTTGCCCTTGCGCAGCAGGTGGCAAAAGCACTGAGCTAAATCCCTGGCCCATGAGTCAAGAAACTTATAAAAAGCCAATCCCCTGATTTAATACAGTTTCATTTAAGATGGCAGAATGAAGCCCTTTGTAATTCACTGTAAATTCCTGGGTTTTTAATTATTACACACAAAATATTACTCGTTTTACCTCATTTTATTTTATTTTTTTGGTACCAGGGATCCAACTCAGGTCCTTGTGCTTGCGAGGCAAGTGGCAGAACCACTGAGCTAAATCCCCAGCCCTTACCTAATTTAAAAAAAGATCTTTGCTAGTCATTGTTTTAATGGCTAACAGAAATATTTTACCTAGAGATGCAGCTACAGTAATTACTGTATCTTAAAGATTACCTGGGTGGTCTGTGCATATCCTTGAGTTGGCTGGGCGGTGTAAGCACTGTAGCTGCAAAAAAATTAAATGCAAGAACTGAACAGAGAACATTCTGATTCTATTACTACAACTGCTACAACTACATGAGGCTCCATACTTTAAAAACACTACTTAGAGACAAAATTTGTTATAAAAATGACTTACCCCTGCTGGGCTGCAGCTTGGCTGTAGGTACTATAATCTGAAGGAAACAAGGAAAGAAGTGTAAAGTTAACAAACAGAAGGTAAAGAGATAAAAGCAACAGAAGGAATTTAGGTGGCAAGAATTCTTTAAACTTAAAGAGGCTGACACAGTCTAAAAGAGAACCTCTGCTCTTTCAATACCCAATCAAATTAGGTCTAAAACAGTTTAACTCAGAAAGTCTGAATACGAATACAATGCTAGCTAATGAGGCCAAGCTCAGCTGACTTGGCAGGGATAGTCTGCACGTTCCCATGACCATAAACCCCCTTTAACCACAGGCTACTATTTTAAATGTAAGATCACCATCCTAAAGCTAACCGAGAACAAGACCCTAAAACAGGATCAGAAGCTTTATGTTCATATAAAGAAGCTATGCCACAATATTACAATGTTCAATATCAGACTGATTAATTACATTAGTAGTTTCATCTCCTCAAAACAAGTTTTTCTAGCACTTCCTCACGTTAGCAAGTAAGATCAACCGTAATTCTCTAGCAAAATAATACTGAAATGGAATGTACAAAACAAGAGGATAGTCATTAAAATCTAATGTTCTAAAGAGTCTGTTGACTCAGTACTAACTACATCAATAACTCAAGCTAGATATCTGGGAATAATTTGGTTTTACGTTACATTACTGTATTTCTGTCCTAAAATGCAAAATGATTTGAACTTAAAAAAAAAAAAAAAACCTCACAAATTTTCTTTGCTCTACATAAACCCTCCTACAACTTTTTACAACATACGTCAAAAGGGACTAAAAACTGATCCATTAAGTTATCTAATATAAGCAGTGGAAAGGAAAATGGCTGAGATATTTTCACAGGACTACTGAATTAAAGTTAGAGAAGTTTTAAGATTTTTTTTTAAAAGGCCGTTTATTTTTAAAAACTTTGCCTAGTTATTTCCTCTGCACATGAATATATATCTTGTTCAAAGTTTGAATACACTACTGCCATTAAAACAGAACAGAAGAGTCCTTTCTTTCTTTCTTTTTTTTTTTTTGGTACCCGGGATTAAATTCGGGACCTTGCGCTTGTGAGGCAGGTGCTGGAACCACTGAGCTAAATCCCCGGTCCAAAAGAGTCCTTTCTTTTTCAGTCAGAAAGAGTCAGAAAGTCTCATGCAAAAGCAACTGTCGATATCTCAGTTCTTGGAGGGGTAGAACCCCTTGCCATGCAATCCAAAGCTTGCCTCACAATCTACTGATTTGGCCTCAGAGTTTGAGGCTGTGTACATCTCTTTTAAATTTGGTTTGTTTCTAGCTCCTCTTTCACCTACCTTTTCTTCATTTGTATACCCTTAACTCAGAACCCTGAATCAACATTATAAAATCAACTGCTCAAAGGATATCTTAAAATGAAAGAAATCAATCCATTCAAGTCAAAATCTTGAAGCATTTTCAGCAATGCTCTAAGTCATATTCTTTATCTTTTCTTTTTTTTTTTCTTTTGGTACCGGGGGTCGAACTCGGGTCCTTCCGCTTGTGAGGCAGGCGGCAGAACCACTGAGCTAAATGCCCGGCCCTCTAAGTCATATTCTTTACGACACATAAAAATTAAATGTAGCCAGATGCAGTGGTGCACGCTCATAATCTCAGGTTCAAGGCCAGCCTGGGCAACTTAGTGACATTCGGTCTCAAAATAAAAATAGCTCAGTGGTAGATAGAGGACTTGACCAGCATGCCCAATGGCCTGGGTTTAAGAGCCCCAGCACTGTAAACAACCCCTTCTCCATTAAATGCAAATTGGCATTCACAAAACACAAGAAGCACCAAAACCAATGATTTCAATCAACATTTTACCAAGGTTTCTGTATGAAAAATAATCTAAAATCACTGACATGTAAATTCAATGTTTGTGAGAAGTCTTATACAAAAGCAGTTATGTAAAACATAAAAACTGATACAGGATAGCTAATGATCGCAGGTCAGTGTGAAACCAGAGGATTTGGCCCTTACGCTGTTGGGCTGAGGCAGAAAATACTTTTCAGGAGAATTTATTTACCTACAGCACACAAACTTTACATGTTCTCAAACTATAAAAACACACTGCTCAGATTATTAAACCAATTGTTTATTTTTAATTTCCAAACGTGCAGTTAAAAACCACTAAAAACACCACAGGCCGAGGAGAGAGTTGTGATGCAGGGGCTCTTTAGAGTGCTAGCAATATTCTGTTGCTTGGTCTGAACAGTGGTTGTTTGGAGGCTGCGATGTAACTGTGTTTACTGCACGTAGCTACACAGTGTGGGTACTTTTCTACATGATTACAGGAGAGCGAGGGGAAAACATGTTAACATTACTCAAGGCAGCAACTTAAGACATTCTGGGTCAGGCACTTTCTAAACTGTAGAGATTTAGGGCGTCAGACTACATAATGCATTAAAGTCAGCACGGGGTAATTTTGTTGCGACTGAAATACTTTGCTGTTAAAACCAGAAGGGCTCAAGAAGCTTTTAAAAAGTATACCTATTCTTTTACATTTTGCAGAAAAGCAAACTAAGTTTCTGATAAGATATGTGATTCCCTAAAGATCCCCTAGTGGGGCCTAATATTCTATGTAAACCGTGCTTGTAATTTTTTTTTTTTGGTACCGGGGATCGAACTCAGGTCCTTGCGCTTGCAAGGCAGGTGACCATACTTGTAATTTTAATACAGTAGGTGGTTACCAGCAAAGAGGGTCTGAGCAAAGATGACTGAAAAAAGTCATGTCCAGCCACATAAAAAATTTCAATGTAAACACTTTGTCTCCTCAGGCTGTAGTAGGCAAGATGAGGGTGGAAAGGGCACAGGATGTGTCTGTATTATCTCTTGGGAGCGTTTTCTTTCAGAAACACTCTCGTTTAGGAGCACTCCTGATAGCCTGGCACCAAGAGCCAACATTCACCTGTTTACTGACCACACAAATGGACAGTTACTAAGATTGTCTTTCAGTTGTTAGATGCTAGAGTCTTTCTAAATTAAAATTCTGAAGGACTCAAGAGCTTTCCCCATCTTCTCTGTCATTTTCCTCCAGTGCCTCCAAAGCTCGGAACCAGGCTGGTCTACGAATACCGCCAAAGGAAAAAAAGCTCCACCCTACTAACAATCCCCGGTTAAGTGCACCAATCTGGCGGTAAAAGGCCATACAGTACTCTCAAACGCTCCAGGCGGTAATGACCACCTTACCCATCACATTCTACAGTTCCCACACTGGGCTTTCTTTTGAAGTCTACCGCGGGCCTGCTTTTCCTAGCGTCTACAGGTTCACTAAATAAACCCTGTAGCCTAACGCAGGCAAATATAAATGTGCCAGGCGATGGTTTAACCATAGTTTATATAAAGGCTCGAGCTTTTGTTCCTCCTAGGTTAAAGAGATCAGAGATTTCCTTCTGGTAGGATTTCTGACTTTCAGATCCAGGGTGGCCTTCTTATACAACTGATCTCCCTATGCGTTTAATAAAAAATGGCCCTGGGAAGCAGATTTGGGGTAAGGCCCGAAGAAGGAAACACTATGTCTTAAGGCCAGGCCTGTGTAAGTTGGGTTCTGGGATGGAAGGCATCCAGCCGACTGGGCCTGAAGGATGACTGGGCTCCTCCTCAGAAGCTGCAGCCCCGCACCACATAGATCCGCGACAAGATCCCCCCCCCCCCGATTTCTCCCTAAGGAAGAGTTGCCCTCGGGCCAAGACCACTTGCCCTGTGCTCTGTTAAGATAAGAGTGGAGGGTCACACTGGCAGGCGGGCTGCAGCTTTTCGATTAACCTTACGGGTCCCCCTCTGCTTTCGGGGTGACGGGCTCGAGGCCAGGCGGCGTCCCAGCTTCACGCGGGACCTAAGAGGCCACAGGCCCCGCCCACGTGGCGGGCCGCCGGGAGCGCTGGGGCCGACGATCGCAACACAATGGAGGCCAAGGCAGGGCGGCAGGGCGGCGGGGCTCAGGCGCCCCGTCACCGCGAGCCCCCAGCGCGCCGGAAGGTTCCAGAACCGGCCCGCCCGATGGGGGAGGGGAGGGGGACGCGGGCCCCCCAAGCCCGTCTGGGCGCGGCAGGTACCTCCAACCTTTCTCTTCAACTCCAATTATCTTGACCACACCCAGAGGCAAGCAGTCCCCGGTTTCGGGGGTCCCAGCCATCGCCAGACCGACCGCAGTTCCATCACACTCACCCGTGGACGCCATTTTCTCTCCTTCCTCCTCGTTCTCTCAACGTCCGTCACCCTCTCGCTTTCCCTCTAAGCGCCGCACTGCGCAGGCCCGAAACCCGCAACCTCGGGCGCTACCATTGGTACACGCCAATGGGGGTGGAGGAAGGAGGGCTGAGCCACCAATTTCTCGTTCTTCACATCTGAAACTGTTGTCCCAATCCTTTCTAAAGCTTACTGAACATGATGCGTGGGACAAAGTAGCACAGAAAGGGCTGAAGCGCCTGTGAGCGGGTGTCACCATCGAACCGAAGGGATTCGCGAGGCTGGGTCGTTCCGAATGGTTACGTCCGCCAGCTCTAGGGACCGTCTCTGAAGAGTCTGCCCTGGAGGAGAACGGAGGCCGGCGGGAGGGCTGGGGGAAGGGATCAGGGCCTAGAACAACTGCTGACTAATAGGCGGGCACCGGGGGTGGCGGTGGCGGTGGGGGTGGGGTTGCGCGCCTGCTGGTCGGCCAGGGTCACGCGCCCGGGTGTGCGCGCAGTGGGTCTGGGGCACCTTGGTGTTCGACCCGAGGATTCCCAGCGGGGGGCCCCCCCGGCCTTCCGGGGTGGTGGTGGGCATGCTCCGCAGTGAGTACCTCGGACGCGTGCCCGGGCCGGCGGGGGTTGGGGCCTTAGGCCTGTCGGTTGGGTGGGAGGCCCTGAACGCCGTGCCCGGCCCCGAGGACTCACCCCCACCCCACCCCTTAACGGTCAGGCTTGAGAAAGCCCTTTAATCACCTCTCGTCCTATATCCTTGTTTTAACAGCAGTGGAAACTGAGGCCCAAGAAAATTGAGTACTTTTCCCAAAGTCACAAAGCTGAGTTCGACCTAGACCTCGAAGGCTCCCCTCCCCCTCCATCCCGAAGAGTCTTCCCGTCCTTGACTTCCTATTCTGTACTCCTGGCTCCCCAGCGAGGTAGGCAGGGCTTGATGGTGCACAGCTCCATTTTATAAATCCAGAGGGCTCAAGGCATAGTTACGAGGCCCTGGGCAAATCCTTCACCCTTGCTAAGGTGCATGGGGTGGGAGTGGGAGTGATTATGAGGTTGCAAGAGGAAGCATGCAGTGGGTGTCTTGGCCCCAGGCAAGGTTGGTATCTGCCCACTTTGCTGAACCTCAGCTCAGCTGCATAAGTGGGTGCAAGGGCCCAGTGAAGGGCAGGGCTCACCCCAGCTTCCTGAGCTGGACCAAGAGCAGTGTCTTTCAGTGAACACATAAAAATCACTGGCTGTGTACTGGGGAATTTGGCAATAAAAGGAGTGCCCCTTCCCCATAAACTCAGACCACCTGCCAACTGAAACAGGCCAACTGTGCTCAAAAGACCAGATCTATGATGTGGGAAGGGGAGAGGAAGAGGACATTTGAGCTGGGCTTCAAAGAATGAGTAGGTGTTTGTCTGCCGGAGAGATGGAGAAGGACCTTGTAGGCAGAGGAGATGTCCACATTTTTTTCTGCAGGAAACAGGCAGATACATACAGGAAGCCTTTGGGATAGAAATGGCTTTATTTTGCTGGGACCCTGCTTTCTGCCCTGAATCAGCTCAGCAGGAGCTCTGGGACAAAGAGGCCTGGCCAGGGCTGAAGGGGCTACAGGCTGGATGTGAATTGAAGGAGGAGCACAGAGGAGGAACAGCCTAGCTTTGTGGGCAGGGAATGGCCACGTTGGGGGCCAGAGCTTCAACCAGCTAGTCTTGAGCAGCCATCTTGAGGCTTTCTCTTGGTGAGTGGGTCAGGTGATGGCCACAAATACCTCTCACGGTCAGTGGGGTGGTTACACTTTCTTGAGCAGGAGCTGTGGGCTGGGGCCTGCTTTGGCCTATTCCTTTTTCTCATCCTATGAGGAAAAGATTTTCTCAGTTCACTGATGAGAAAGGAGAGGCTTAGAGTTTGAGAACCTGCTTAGGGACATACAGCAGAAAGAGGAAGAGCAAATACTAGAACTTTATTGTGAAAAGGGAGGCTAAGGCCAGGGGGACTATGCTTAAGGCTGAGGAGGAAGATGCTCAGATGTGGGACCCCTGCTGCCCCTCTTTCTAGCCCTTTTACCCCATCCCCTCTCCAATCTGCTTGCCTATTGGTTGGTCTTGGCACCTTGCTCTAGGGCAACTGAGGCCACTGGGACTCTAAAGCTGAGCACAGTGGCAGGGAGGAAGTGGAGGGTGGCAGCCTAAGGGAAGGGAGAAACAGAAGGTGCCTAGAGATGGCTCTGAATTGGCCCTAGGGCAATGATGGTGAAACTTTTAGAGACCTAGTACCCAAACTGCAACCCAAAACCTAATTATTTATCGCAGAGTGCCAACACTGCAATTAAACCTGAATACTGAGGTTTTAGTTTAGAGAAAGCAACTCACTTTTGGCTCGCATGCAGACAGAGAGCACTCTGCGTGCCTGCTGTGGCACGTATGCAATTGGTTTGCCACCACTGCCCTAGGGGGTTGTACCCATTTTCAGTAGCCCAGGGCCCCAGTTCAACTTTTCTGGCCCTACACCTCCTATCTGAGACCTTTCTTCAGGGTCAGTCTGGACTCAGGACTCAATGCCTGTGCTATTCCCATCCTCACAATGGGCAGATGGCTAATGGTTGGTTCTAACCACTGTGGCTGAGCTGTCTCTCCAGCCTGCTTCTACTTCTGTAAAATGAGGCTGTTGGTAAAGTAGCTGAGGGAGTCAATGAGATAAAGCTACAATAATAACTGTTGGTGTTTTCTTTCACCAGCAGCACACAGTCCCCGGACCACCCTTGACCATCCTCAATCAAACCATGCATGCCAGGGATCCCCCTGGCCTACTCTTCCCAGCGCTGCCTCTTGCCTCCTCTGTCTTAATGCTGCTGATGACTAGCCTGTGGCTGTTGGGAGCCGGCCCCAGCCTCACCTTGGCCCCGGAGCTGCTGCTGGACCCCTGGCAGGGTGAGGGCCAGCCTCATAGACCTTGGAGGAGACTGGAGACTTGTAGGGCCCAACACTAGTTGATAGAAGCAGCATATACTCTGCAGTGGTCAAGCAGGGATGAGACCCAATGCCTGGGGGGGTGGTAATAGGGGAGTCAGCCTTAGAACTGATCATAGGGAGTTCATCCACAGCCATGAAGGACCTAGCAGATGGCCCAGTAGAGTGGAGAGGGAACCTGTGGGAAGTTTTGTGGTTTTTTTCCTTTTTTTGGTAGTACTGGGGGTTGAACTCAGGCCCTTCACAATGAGTTACATCCCCAGCCTTTGAACATTTTTAAAAATTTTGAGACAGGGTCTTGCTAAGTTTCCCGGGCTGGGTTGGAACTTGCAATCCTGCCTCAGCCTCCCAGAGTGCTGGGATTACGACTGTGCCACGAGGCATGGCTAGCACTTCTGACACCCTTCCTTTGACATAAAAAGTGAAGCTAAAATAGGCTTTCAGCTAAGTAAGAGGACAGGGAAGGGGTGCTGGGGGTTTGAGGAGTGACCCCAGATGAACTCCTGTTTCCCAATAACTGCTCCAATTTACATTTTAGGAACTCAAATGATGCTCAGAGAGATCCAGGGATTTGTTTAAAGTCACAAAGTTGGGGGAGTGAGGGACTCCGGGAGTGATGCAGGCAGTCTCATCAGAGCTTGCATTCTTACCCAGGTGTGAGGGATTTGGTTAATATGAATGCAGCACACCTTCACTATCTCTGGGGCAGAGTGAAAGCTTAGCAGTTAGTGAGAAGACTGAGTGATGGATCCCATAAACACAGCAGAGGGGTAACCACAGTGTTTGGAACCCCCTGGTCCCCTCTACCAGTCATGCACTGGCAGTGGGCACATTGCCTCCTGGTGGGGGAGGTTTGCTCAGCTGGTGTCCCTGGTGGGTAATGATAGCCCTGCTTCCCAACCTGGTACATGAACCCCTTTTCTCTCCCAGTACACCGGCTGCTGACCCATGTCTTAGGCCACGTCACCCTGCCAGGCCTGCTCCTGAGCCTGCTGCTGCTGCCCACTCTGGGCTGGTGGCAGGAGCGCCACCTGGGTACCCTGCAATTCCTTCATGCCTCCACTCTGCTCTCCCTGGCCACTGGGCTGCTGGCAGTGCTGCTGGCAGGCCTTGGTGTGTCTAGTGAGGGTGGTAGCTCTGGATACATGCCAGTCCATCTGGCCATGCTGGCAGGGCAGGGTCACTGCCCTCGATGGTTTTGGGGGGTGCTGCCACCAAGGCTGTTGCCCTGGCTGCTGCTTGCCTTGACTCCATTGCTCTGTTCTGAGCCACCCTTCCTGCAGCTCCTTTGTGGCCTCCTTGCTGGCCTGGCCTGTATCCTTTGCTGGAGCCTCGAGCCTACATAGCCTTGTGGGTTCTGTGGCAGGGCCCCTTGGATGTCTGGGAAGGAAGTGGCACAGGAACATCAGGCCCCCACAGTGCCAGGTGGTTGTGCACACACATAACAGGAGCAACTCTTGAGTGAGGACTGGGGTGTCGTGACCAGGTGGAAGTGCCATTTTCTTTCTTTTTTTTTTTTTTTGGTACTGAGGATCAAACTCGGGACCTTGCACTTGCAGGGCAGGTGCCGGAACCACTGAGCTAAATTCCTGGCCCACCATTTTCAATTTAAAGCACTCCTTGAGGAGTCTGGGAGGGCTGAGGAAGCACTAATCTGGGCCCTGCCATAATCTGAACTGAGCCATGAAAGAAAAGGTTTGGGTGGAGGGAAGTGGGACGGACCATGGACCAAGCACAGAAAGTGCAAAGGATTCTTTGGGAATTGAGAGGACAACCTATGGCCTGTTGTACAGATGCCTAAAACATGGGGATTTGCTCCAGTGATGTTTAATACTGGTTGGGGAAAGCAGTGTCACCAGGGAGAACAGGCTGACCCCTTGCAGTATTCCAGGAGAGGAATCTGTTTCTGACTGAGGGTACCAGCTGGCCAGGCCTGTGTGAATGGGGAGCATGCTGGTCTGGTGGAGGGCAGGAGGTGGTCAACAGGACTTTTCCTGGAAGTCAGAGACCTGAGCAGACACACAGCCCTGAGAACAGAGCAGGTCAGGGTGGCTGAGGGTGGAAAGAGCCAGATTTTGATGGGGAGGCACATGTGGCTCTTCCTCTTTGGTCAAGTAGCTTCAGGCCGGTTCCCTTTTTCTGAGCCTCGGGTGATGACCCTTTCCTTTAGGGCTTGAGTGAGATACAAGGGAATGCCTAGCACACACTTGGCAAGGGGCCTGGTATGTGGAGCTGGCCAGCCCCTGACTAGTTTCAGTTTTCCTTGACCAGCTGCCCTGCCTTGGGCAGACAGATACCACTGGGGTCTTCCAGTGGTTGGAGCTCTCAGAGCAGCGACTACTGATGTTGCAGGAGGGCATCTTGTGCCGGACCCTGGCCCGGTGGTGGCCACTGAGGCTCCTTCCCACCCCAGGCAGCCTGGCTGAACTGCCTGTCACCCATCCCTCTGGAGTGAGGTGAGGGGGATGCGTGGCCCAAGCACTGGTGGTGGAAGCCCCGGAGGTGGCTGGCAGTCACACCTTCCTTCCATCCCTGCAGGTCTGCTGTCCCTGGCCCTCCTTACCTGGCTTTCCCTACCCCCTGGTCCCACAGTGAACGTCCAGCAAGGGTCCCACCAGGCCTGGAGCCTGGGCAGCTGACCTGGGAGGGTTCCTCAGAGATGGACCTGGAGTGGCCCAGGTCCACCTTTGCTCCAGGGACCTCACTGTGGATGGCCTTGGACGAGCAGATGCTGCAGGAGGGGATTCAGGCCTCACTCTTGGATGGGCCAGTCCCAGGGCCCCAGGGCCCATTGTGGCTCCCTAAGTCCTCCGTTTCTTCTCTGCGGTAAGGTAGGGTGGGCGGGGATGGTGCCCCTGGTGTGGAGGCTGCCGTGGTCCTGACACTCCTGTTTCATACAACCTCACAGGCTGCAGCAACTGGAGCGCATGGGTTTCCCCACAGAGCAAGCTGTGGTGGCACTGGCAGCTACAGGCCATGTGGAAGGTGCTGTGTCCCTGCTGGTTGGAGGGCAGGTGGACACAAAGGCCTTGGTGACTGAAGGGAAGTGGGTACCTGCCCACCCAAAGGGTCCTGGGGCCCCCTAGCAGAGGGTAAGGGCACAGGCCCTGCCTGAGGGCAGATAGCCTGAGCCCCTCTTCTACCCAAGGCCATAGTGGGTACAGGGCATCTCCCCACCCCACTGGCATGCTGTCTTGGTACTTGTTTAGAGTAAAAACCAGTTTGTTTTTCAGCCTGGACTCCTTGGACGTATTTCTGACTTCTGTGTTGGCATTGGGGATGAATGAATGAGTAGTGAATGAATGACCACTTGTGGGAAAGCACTCCTTCATGTCGAGACACCAGGCTTTTGCTCTACAGCCTCTTCCACAGGAAGCTGTGTCCTCTAGGGCTGGGCTGGACTCTCCAAGGTGCATGCTCCATCATTTGTTTCCAACCGATGTCTACCCATCCTTGGGCCTCAGCTTAGAGAGACTCTTCTGGGCTGCCCCAGTCTAAGAACACAGTGAGACCACACTGGGTGGAACTTAGGTAGGGGCCTTTATTGGCCAATACAGATCTACCTCCCAGTGTCTGTCACACACTTCAGGCAGCCTCTTCTCCATGTCCCCACCCCTGACCTGGGACACTAAGGAGGGATTAGAGGCTTGAGGGGCAGAACTAAGACAAGAACCCTCTCACCGTTGTCAGAAATTAGGTGGCCCAGTCTTGGGGGTGGGAACCCAGCACCAGAAAACAAGGAGAGGAGGTTGTGCAGGGGGGCTCTCCAAAGTTTGCCTGAGGAGGAGGACAGAGACTGCCCCCACCCCCAGCATCCCTGCACATACTGAGGGTGGGGCAGAGCTCTGCTCTTGGCTTCTGCAGTGCCTCTCAGCTGGGATGCTGATGAGACAAGAAGCCTTGTACCGCTACCCTCTTTGAAGGCCTGTATCACCCCATTTTGCAGAGGGAAAGAAAGACTCAGGCCCGAGTGGGCTGAGTAAGCCTGTCTAGGTTGTCACCTCTCTCTCAATCCCTAGTCTATGATGGGTTTCAGGTATGTACAGGTGTCAGGACTGAGACCTGCCTACCCCTAAGGCCTAAATGGCAGAGGGACCCTGAGGACATTAATAAATAGGAACTGGTGATCCCTGGAAGCAGCTGGCCAAGTCCAGGCTGGAAAGGGAAGCCTGGCATGGTCCACCCTGAGGGGCCACCACTGCCCTCAGCCTCTCTCATTCCGGCTCCTAGGCTCGATGATCCGGTAGTTGGCTGTGTGTCCTCCCCTCTTGCCCCGAAGGAGGCCGGGGCCGCCCATGCCACCAGGGCCTGCCCCAGACCCCAGTTCTGGCTCTGTTGGAAGGAATGAGAAGGAGAGAGGCAGTGTTAGGAAGTCCATATGGGGTGCCCACCTCCTCCTGGCTCTCTGGCAGGGGGCAGGACAGCAGTGTACCCTGGCACCTGGGAGGCAGAGCTTCAGGAAAAAAGGGCATCTGCAGGCTGGTTACTACCTTCCTTCGGGACTTCTGAGTCCCCCAACCCAATGAGAATACTCAGGGCCTCTATTTGATTCCTGCTTTCTCAAGCAAGGATAACCAGGGAAACCATGTTTACATGAGATGTTCAACACGTAGCAAATACTCCATTCAAAGTTCACTTCTTTTTTTGGTACCAGGGATTGAACTCAAGACCTTGCGCTTGCAAGGCAGGCAGTGGCACCACTGAGCTAAATTCCCGTTCCATGAAAGTTCAGTTCTTAACCAGGCACGGTGGTATATGACAGTAATCTCAGTTCCCTTCAAGGCTGAGGCAGGAAGATCAAAAATTTGAGACCAGTCTGGGCAACTTAAACCCTGTTTCAAAAAAAGAAAAAAAATTTGTTTAGAGGGCTGAGGACGTAGTTCCATAGTAGAGCACTTGCCTAGATTGTGTTCAATCCCCAGCACTGCAAAAACAAACAAACACAACAAAAATCATCTCATTTCATTGGAAACAGATTTACTGCGTCTGTCCCTCTTTCCTTGGGCTAGAGCACCAGTTTGGGGAAAGGGCCTAGGAAGAGGCCAGGCTCTGCCCCGACCTACTGTGCAGTTTTGGGCATGTTGGACCCCTGTCAGGACCTCAGTTGACTTATGTCTAAAATCAGGGATATTTCCAGAGAGATTCTGAGGGCCAGGCAGCTCTAACAATGAAGTCAGTTCCAATGGGACTATGGTGATATGCTCCAATCTGGAGTGAAATAATAACCGGCATTTTTGCCACTGGAAAAGTCCTGCTTATCCTCCCAAACCCAGAGTGGGAGCTATGTTCTTTAGGAAGCCTTCCGAAACTATTATCTCAGTCCCTCCCAGAGTTAAATGAGCAGGTCAGGCAGGGCAGGATACGCTGTTTTGGGCTGGAGATTTAGCTCAGTGGTTCCAGCACCTGCCTCAAAAGTGCAAGGTCCCAAGTTTAATCCCCGGTACCAAAAAAAAAAGGATAGGCTGTTTTTCTACTCAGGGGAGACCCCCATGATGGAGGACTTGGCTGAGCCTCTAGGGCCATTTCTAGGAGAGATGTTTGGGCTCTGCTGAGCACCAGGTTCTCACTGAGGGCAGTGCCAGGGAGAGGGATGCACCTCATAACACTTAAATGCTGAGCCTATGGACCTCTGGCCTGAGAATGGGGACATGGAGCAGGCAGGTATGTGTAGTCATGAAGGATATTTCATGCGCAATGAGGGAGCATGGGAGATGATGGCATAGAGGACCAGCTTCTGTGTCAACTAGGGTCAAGTCCTGGCCCTACCACGTTCAAGTTAGGTGGCCTTGGGCAGTCCACACACCTTGGAGGCTCATCTGGAACATCGAGATAATACTCTTGCCTTGTCACACCTTTGCCATAAATGGGTTTAATGTTACCAGGAGTGGAAAGTAGTTTTTACAGTAAATCCTGGATTATTAAGGTTACTAGGTTGGTGTGGCTTTGACCCAGGTCTCCTGTAGGTCTGGTCACTATGAGTCAATCATGATATGAACAACTCTGGGGCCTTGGTTTTCCCAAGCCCTACTCAGTGCCTGGCCAGGCAGAGGTCTCAGCAAACCTCTGCTGGAGGAGTCAAAGGAGCCAGCACTAGAGAGGACAGACCTAGGGTGGACCCCTGTGTCTTACTGTCACTATCCCTGTGACCCTGAGGTCTTGTGAGGTCTCTGATCTGTTTCTTCATCTTTAAAATGGGTGTTGCTCACCTGACAAGCTTGTGTTTTGTTTTTTGAGACAGGGTCTCGCTATGTAGCTCAGGCTGGCCTCAACTCATGGCGATCCTTCAGCCTCACCCTCCTAAGTGCTGGGATTACAGGTGTGCAGCACCATGCCTGGGTTTTTTTAAAGCTCATTTTAAGGACTGGAAATGATTATGTCCCCCAGCCCAGGTGGCCCACAGAGGTGGTAGCTGTTACTGTCATCATTATCACCAGCAGCAGGGCCACGGATTTTGCTCAGTGGCACTGTGCCTGCCTTGAAAGTGTAAGGTTCTGAGTTTGATCCCTGGTACCAGAAAAAAAAAAATCTACTTATCAGAAGCAGCATTTGGTGCTGGGGATTGAACCTAGATTCTCACACACAGTCTGTGTTGATTATAACCTAAACACGAGCATCAACTTTTTTTTTTTTTTTGGTGGTGGTGGTGCTGAGGATTGAAGCCAAAGGCTATGTATGCTAGGCAAGTGCTCTACTATGCTACTATCCCCAGTCTTTTAAAAATTTTATTTGGAGGCTAGGTTTGACTAAATTGCCCAGGCAATTGTGATCCTCCTACCTCAGCCTCTCAAGTAGCTAGGATTACAGGTGTGAACCACCATGCCCGGTGCCATCTGGGTCTTTAGGTAGCACCTGTTGAGTATGCTGGGCTAATACAGAGGGTTCCAATCCATTCTCTGTTCCCCTCCTCCTGTACCTCTTCCCCTAGGGCCCAACCCCTGCTGGCTTGAAGGGCCATTCTCCTGGGTGTGTGGTCACTGAAGGGGGAACAGGCCTTCTCAGGTGCCTGGCACTTCCTCCCTCGGCTGTCAAAGGGAGAGCTGGCTGAAGGCAGGCAGGCCAGGCCAGATCTTGGGCTGCAGTGGCACAAACATGTCCTTATTAGCTCTTGCCCCAGTCCTCTTCAGAGGTAGTAGGGGACACCTAAGAAGTGGGGGTTTCATACTTTGTTCCCAAGAGTCCCCTGGGTTCCTTGGAGCATCTCCACTCCTGTATCTCCACTGAGGCCTCAGCCTCATTTCCTAACGAGGAGACAGGGCTTCCCTAGCTCCTCAAGTGACCAGATGAGGGCAAGGGAGGTCTGGGAGGTAGTCCTGATGTCTCCAAAAGTTAGAGAAGTCAGGTGGCTTGTGGGGGGCACTTTGTCAACAGACCACACACACTTTCCAACCTAGGCCTTTGGCCTTTTGAGGCTGCCAGGATTGTCCCTTCCACCTTCTCTACCTGGCATACCCATGAATCTTTCATGACCCAATGCAAGTGTCCCCACTTGCAAGAAGTTGTCCCCGACATTCAGTGCGAAGTGATAGTTTCCTCACCCACGTACTTGGGTGCTCTCTTTCCCCAAACCTCTATAGATATTGAGGATTCCCTGCCACTGATGGGTAGCTCCCCAAGGCAGAGCCCCAGTTGCTCTGTAAGGCCGCAGCACCCACCCCAGCCTGGCATTCGGCACATGTGCCATATGATTTTGCTGAATGAAGGAGGCTTGGCTTTAACCTTGACCCTCCCTCCTTCTCTTAGTTTCTTCCGAGGTTGGACATGATGTCAAGGCCTGTATCCAATGTGTTCATGAACTGTGAGATGGAGTGACTAGAAGTAGGCAAAGAGCAGCTGGGGACCTCTTAGTGGGTTGGTGAGGAACAGCCAAGCCCTGAGGGCAGTCAATCCCTTCCTCTCCCCAGTGCCAGCTATGGGCTCTGGTTTTAGGGGGAGAGATGTCCTCAGCCTCATCTCCAGGACAGGGAGGGGTACTGCCTTCCTGGAATCTTACCTTCTCCCATGTCACCCCAACCTGCCTTCTAGAACCTTCTCAGTTTGGAGCCTGTCAGATTCTCCAGCCTTGGCTCTCACCTTTCAGCAACACTGAGGAACAAGTCCTCTAGGCTCTCTCTGCTCTCTTGGCCTTTGCTCTTCCTCTGCCTGTTCACTCTTCCCTGATCCTTGCCCTTCAGGTGTCCACTGAGACATCACTTCTTCCAGGAAGCCCTCACCACCCCCACACAGATCTGAGGCAGAAGCACTTCTGTGTTCTCCCAGGTGCCTGTACTCACTCCACCATGGGATATCTCACCTTACGCTCCATTGCCAATGCCAGGGCTCTCCCTGGCCCCCAGCCCCCTACACTCCACGCGGGCGGGACTCTGTCTAATGTGTTGGAGCCAGTGCCAGCAGGTGCCTGACACAGAGCAGATGCTCCTTCACTGCAGCACTAGTTACCAGAGCCTTCTCTGTGCCAGTCACCATCTTCTGGATGGATGGAAGGATGAAGAATGAATGTCTGCTGGCCAAGTCAAGCATTGGGAGGTGCCTCCTGCATGCCCGGGCCCTGCCCAGGCCCTTCCTGGAAGGGTTGCCCCTGCCTGCCCGCCCTGCCATTACCTGGCCAGATGATGGCTTCCAGCAGGGTGACCCGTCTGGCCAGGAGCTCCAGCTGAGCCTGCTGCTGCAGGAAGCTCTGTAAGCTAGGAGCCTGATGGGAGATTGAGAAGAGCAGACGGTGCGAGTCTGGCCTCCGAGGGCTGGGCCGGGGAGCTGAGGTAGGGATGGGGGGTAGGTGACGGGACCTCTGTCTCCCCTCTTAAGGTGGGGTCAGGACTTGCCTGGTTCCTCAAGTGACCAGCTAGGTGGGGAATTTCTAGAGAATACCGGATTGAGTGTCTGGCTCTCCTGACCCCCTAAAGGGACCTGCAGGGCAGATTAGGAGGACTAAAGTGGAAGCTGCTATGGGGATACCAAGGGCCAGGAGGGATTATGGGGGAAAATGATCAGACCTGGTAGATGGTGAATTACCCAGATTTCCCTGAGGTCCAAACCTGGTTCTGTCATACCCAGGCCCCTGCATTTCTGGAGTCTAGTTCCGTGACTGATTGTCCTGTGGGTCTGCAGCCTGGTTCTGTCACCCCTGATTTCTCTAGAGCTAAAGACTATGAATCTAGATCCATTACCCATATTCCTCATGTGGTCTTGGGCTCCAACTCTATTACCCCATGATCCCTTGCACTGCTGAAGTTTGGCTCTGTTACCCACAAGCCCTTGCTGATCTGGAGTTTGGTTTCCGTTGTCTATAATTTTTTCCAAACTCAAAAGCTGTCATCTTTGGTTCCGTGCAGGCCTGAAAAACCATGTCATTCACAATACCTAGAGGCCCAGGTCTGACCCCTGGGGTAGGGGCTGCATTTCTAGGGCCTTCACCTGTGCAGGAGACTACTGGTCATTGAAAGATGAATGGTTTTGGCCTCTCAGTCCACACCTGCTTGGCACAGGTACTTTCTCCAGCCTCATGACTGGGCCTGGGCCAGTTGTTCCCCAGGAGGGTTTGGGGAAGGCTGGCAGGCAGGGGCTGGGCTGTCTGTCCGTCTGTCTGTCTCTACTCACCATAGAGCCCAATCATTGTTTCCAAGATTAAAACCCTCTCAGCTAAAATCTTCAAAGCCTCGCGTAGTTGGTGCAACCCCTCCCCCTGTGGAGGAAAGAGACAGATGCAGCCGTGATGGGGGCAGGGGAGGGGGCCCTGCAAAGCCTGTTGGTGGCCCATGCCCCACCCGGGACATGCACCTGCAAGCCCATACCACCTGCCACAGCCCAGGGCCCATGGACAGCCAGAACAAGACCAGGAGAAGACAGGAAAGGAACAAGGCAGGCAGAAGCAATCCCTGAAAGGCCCCTCAGAAAGACATCTGATCCCAGCTGGCTTTGGGCCAGGGGGATGCCAATCAGCAGGGGCAGAACTGCTGTCCCAGAGCCTGCCGTGGAGCCCACCCCATCCTCTCATCTCTGTTGCCCAACTCCAGCTGCTCTTGCATCACCTGTATGATTCCTACCACAGTCGTCTACTCTTGTTTACTTCCTATTTTTTAATTTCACTTTGTGTCTTAAATTACCAATTTAGCCTCATCATAATTAACTCTTATCAGTGAAATCAGGCTGGTTGCTGATATTTCTATTCACACCAAATTGAATATAAATAAAAATTGAAAATGTTTGAGGAACATTGCTGTTGGGGAATTGATGCTTAGAGTGCTGACAGACCTGTGGCTCTAAGCCAAGTGTGGTGGCACATGCCTATAATCCCAGCACTTGGAAGGTTGAGGCAGGAGGATTGCCAAGAGTTTGAGGCCATCCTGGGCTACACAGTGAGTTCGAGCCTAGCTTGAACTACATATCAAGACCCTATCTCAAAAAACAAAATGAAACAAAATAGACATCCCCATCCCCCCAAAAAACTTGTGACTCTGGTCCAGAGTCCCTTTCCAGAAAATAGTGCTCATACCTGCCAGGGCCATGAGAACAGCCCATATTCTGGCACATCTTGGTGCCCTGCCCTCAGTTCTATCCCCTAAGCAGTACTGGTCTGCACCTCTGCTTTTCAGGCTTACACCTCCCAGCTCTCAGGGATGTAGCAATGGGTCCTCAAAACTCCTCCTCCAGGGCCTCCTGGTTTTCAGGCTCCTCACCTCACAAGCAGAGCTAGCTGCTGTCAGAGACCTCAACAGCCAGGGATCAACTTGATTTCCTCCCAATCTGTCTGTCTTTTCCTTCTCCCGCATGGAGCCTTAGCATTCTCCATGCTTCCTCACTCCTTCCTCTTGCTTAGCTGAGAACAAAGGTATTTCCAGAATGTAGGTATCTCAATTTCAACAGAGACCAGGATGAGAACTATTCCAGTTCTGACAATGTCTAGAATTCTCTCTTGGAATCCTTTACTTGAACTATAAAGGGATGTCTAACATGCACATTGGTATAATTATAATCCAACATTTTAAAGTAGTGTTCTTCATAAAAACATCTAATCAACCAAGAGGCCTCCTAACATTTCCATTATGAGCAAGTTGCTTCCTGTGTTTGTTCCTTATCATCCAGCTGTCCTGTACAATCAAATAGATTGGGATATCCTCATGCCACCAAATGGCCATTTTATCCATTTCCCAGGGTCACAATGGGTTGCATGCCAATGTAACCCTCTTTAAGTATCACAGGAATAGGATCTAAAAATGGATGACCTGCAAAAATTTCATTAAGCCATTCTCAGCATGGACAATGGAATATTGGGATCCTGATGAGATACAATCCAGAGCACCACATCCACCACAAATGCTCCATCGAGTACTTAACCTGCACTGCATCACACCATGAAGAAATCTAGACTCGAGACATTCACTAAGAGACAAAGTCAGGCCAGGTGTGCTTGTGGATGCCTGTATTCAGCACTTGAGAGTTGAGACAGGAGGATCACCACAAGTTGAAGGCAAGCCTAGGCTATTTAGTGAGTTCAAGGCAAGTCTGGATACCTAGCAAGACCTTGTCTCAAAAACAAACAAACAAACAAACGAACCAAACAACAAAGAAGCAAAGCTAGGTGTGGTGGCGCACACCTATAGTTCCCAGTGCTCTCAAAGGCTGAGTCAGAAGGATTGTGAGTTTGGGCCTCTGCCTGGATAATTTAGAGATTTAGTGAGACACTGTCTCAAAATAAAAAACTGAAAGAAGAGCTGTGATGTAGTTCAGTGTGAAGGTCCTGGGTTTAATCTTCAGTACAGGGGAGAAAAGGTCAAGAAAAGAAGAAAGGGACAGAAAGTCTGTTCTCGACTAAGAGAGACCAGAGACATGACAACCAAATGCAACATGTCAACCTTAGTCAGAATTTGAATTAAAAAAAAAAAGAGCTTTTGGGATGGGGGTAAGCTCAGTGGTAAAGTGCTTGACTACCACGAGCCCTGGGTTTGATCCCCAGCACTGTGAAAGTAAACAAAATAAATGGATAAATAAAAAGAACTCTTTGGGGACAATTGGTAAAGCTGGTATGTAAGTTACACATTAAGTGGCATCATGTTACTTAACTAGTGTTAGTTTCTTAGCATGACAGTTGTATTACAGTTATTTGGGAGAATCTATATTATTTTAGATGCATGCTGAAGTTAGGGAAGATGTGGATGACATTTGCAGCTTACTTTCAGATGAATTAGAAAGAAAGATATACAAACACATAAAGAGAAAAAGAGTAAATGTGCAAAATACTATTAACTGGTTGACATAAAGGAAGGGCAGGTGGATGTCCATTATATAAGCATTTTGGTATATTTGAAAAATCTCAAAGTAAAAATCAAAAGGAGAGTATTAAAAAAAAAAAGCCCCTCCCAGAAGGATGGCTTGGTGTGTGCACTGGTGATACTTCTGGCCTGGTTTGCATCTGTGCTCTGGATCTAAGGGTCCAGGGCCTGTTGGAGACCCTCACTGGGCCATAACACAGACATGTCCCATTTTTCCAGGGACAAAACTCAGTGTGCTTGCTTTTCGTGGCTCTCTTTTACTATCTTAAATCTTTTTTTTTAACTATCTTCAATCTTCCTGACTCCTCACTCCCCTTCACACCCAAAGCAGCACCCAAGAGTCTCTTAGCTCCAAGAGTCTGCCCCTCCTGCTCTCACCCCCAGTTCCAGGGCCCCAGTCTCTCACAAAGATGACCACAGCAGCTTCCTGCCAAGGCTCTTTCTGCTTCTCCTATGCTTCCCGCCTCACTCAATCATTCTCCACCTGGCAATTAAAGAGCTATTTTGCAAACAAAATCAATTAAGTTGCTCTCCTCCATAGGAATACTTCCATGACTCCTCACTACCCACAGAACAAAATCCAAATTCCGTAATATGGCCTCCTAAGTCCTGAAAATCTCTTTGGGATCTGTCTCTCTCCTTTCCAAATATTTGCTACTCCAAATATTTGCAGCTTTTCAAATACCTGGGGTCTATCTTGTCCCAGGGTCTTTGCATATGGTGTTCTCACTTCTCTGTCAACATCCTGTACCTTATGCATCTTTTGTGCCTAGTCCATCTCCTCCAGGAGGGGACTACAGTGTCTGCTATCAAAGCCGAATTTCCCTCACTCCTGTGGCTGCTGACTGCAGGTCTTTCCTTATCCGATGGTAACCACCCTAAGGATGGGGACTGTCTACATGGTATATGTGTTCACAGTGCCAACTGGGCCAAGTCGAGGCTTTGCCATGGATTTTCTCTGCAGAGTTGGGCCTGTGTTTCCTTGTTTGAATAAGGAACGAAGGGCATCAATCTACTGAGATAGACTGCTCAGGGCGATCACTCAGTTCCTACAGTGGAGTCTGTGACCACTGGGTGTCACTGGTGAGCCACAGGCAAGCCAGGCCAGGGCGCCTAAAAGCTGCAGCAATGGGGCAATGGTAAGTGGAATGTACACAGGAGCCCTCAGAGACTTGCCAGAACTGGGTCCCCTCTTCCCCATCCCCATCTACCTCCAACAGAGCTGGGCCCCAGCCTCAAAGCTTCATGCAACTCCCAGCCCAGCAGGTCCCTTCCTAAGCAGGCAGCAAGCAGGGGAAGAAGTGCAGGGGGATGAAGGGCAGGAAGGAGGATAAGCAGGAACAGGGGCCCTGCTACTTCTTGGGTGGCTTCTCCCAGGGGTAATCTTGTGTTCAAGGCCTGGTCTGGGTTGCCCAGGCATTTTGTCCCCTTATCAGGGCCCCCCATGCATGAATGGAACTGCATTGCCTAATTCTACCTTGACCTCGCCTCTCTCACCTCTCCTGGGCTGGAAAATGTGTTCCCAGCCTGAGGGTCTCTAGGAAAGGAGAGTGAGGGATCTACCTGTCCCCCAGTTCAGCTCATGCCTACTTTGGCTGTAGCCTTAAGAGGCCCTGGAGCCACAGTGGTGGTGGTAGGTGGACAGCAAGAAGCTAGGCAAGGTAGCAGAGCCCCAGAAGTCATGGAGAGACATGAGGGGAGGACTCATGCGGGATAGGGGGCTCCCACGGCTGTATCCATCACTGACCCCACAATCAGTAGCCGAGAGGGTGGGCACTGGGGGCTGCCCGTATCCTCACTAACTCATGACTGCAAGTTAGGGTGTCCTGGCCAGACTACAGGGGGAGGAAGGTATGGGGGAAGGAATATGATACCACCCTCCAAAAGGGCACCCAAGGTATCGCTTCTGTGGGGGTCTGCCCTAATCCTGCCCATTTTCCAAATGTCTCCTATGTCATTGGTTTCCAGGTCCCTGTATTGTAGAACTTAGGGACATGGTACATTTGTTCTAGGCTCCTGGTCCTTCCCTCATGTGTCTCCTGGAGGAGCAGATTTTTAGGTCCTGAAATTCATTCACTGTAATTATCTCCAATGATTATAATGGTTTCTAGGAGCCCACATGAGTTATGGGATTTCTCAGTGTGTGGTACCTAGGACTCTATTCTTTTTTATGTCTCTTGTGTATGTGACAATTTTTAAGCCCCCCTTCCTATTCTCCTTTCCTTTGTATATAGTGGTATCTAGATCCCCTGATCCCATTTTTCATAGTTCTTCTTTACATGTGACAATTTCTAGGCTTCCCTTGCCATTCCTAATAGATCTGCTACTTGTGGGATGGTATCCAGGACCTCATGTTATTCATAGATCTTTTGGGTATAGTGCCATCAGGTCATTTAAACCTGATATGATGGTGTTAAAACCTCCCTTCCCAGGCTTCCTAGATTTCTTGTGTCTATTGTGGTGTCTAGATTCCCTGTCCCTTTTGCTGTAGGGCCTCTGTGCACCTCGCTGTTTCTAGGTCTTTCACTTTCCTGAAGTTCCCTATTCTGTCATTCCAAGTTGATACTGTCTTCATGCTTTCCCTTCTCCTTGACAGGAGAACAGAAGCCAAAACTCTTTCTAGGAGGGTACTATGGTGGCAGGGGATGCAGTCTGGCCTGGGTCAACCCAAACCACCCAGCAGGAATAGACAGAGCCACCCTGGCCCTGAAAGGCTACAGAGCAAAGGTGGAGACAGGGACAAAGACAGAGAGAGAGCAGTGGGGTCTGCTGATAGGGCTGGTCCTGCCCAGTTGGGAGTGACAGGATGGGGAAGGGACTGAGGCAGAGAGCTGCCCAGGTGTCAGCCTGGGTGACCAGGCAGTAGAGGGAATGTGGATGGGGCACCCCCACTCCCAGGGCCTACTGGTGAGAGAATTCTCTCCTGAGCACCCAGGGTTGGAGAAGACAAGGGGAGGCCAGGGCTGGACCAGAGCTTACCCAGTGGCTCTTCTCACCAGGGTCTCCTTTGGGGCCAGGTTCTCCCTGCAAGGAGAGACAGAGATAGAAGTAAGGGAGGGAGGGAGGGTGGGAGAGAGGGAGAGAAGACAAAGAGACAAAGACTTAGAGAAACACAGGAAAGTGGGATAGGGATAAAGTGCAGTGGTACAGTGCTTGCTTAGCACCACCAAAAAAAAAAGGAGAAAGAAAGAAAAAAAGATAAGTTTAGAGAGTAGCTTATATTGAACTAACATTAGACAAAACACAAAAAACTGTTGAAGGCAATGGAAATTAAAGAACAGCCAGAAGCCCTTGGAAGAATGTTCAACCAATGGATGAAGTGAACTCTACTGGGTAAAACTCATATATGTACATTTTTTTTCTCAGAGGGTACAGCCTAGCAAATAGAGCTCAAGCAATAGCCTTCAGTTATATTGGCTTGAGGAGTAATAGGCTAGAGTTGAGGCTGCCAGAGAAGGAGGAAATTGAAGGAGAATCCTGAAAAGCAATGAGCCACAGAAGGGGAACAAAATCTGCATAAATGCTCCTGTCTAATCCTTGGAGGATCTCTGAACTGTCCATCCACAAGGGAAAATTCCAAAGAGTCCAGGAGAGAAACAACAGGTTAGCAGAACTAAGGATATATTTTGACAATTTCCTACACATAGCAGACAGAGTTTGGAATATATGTGGCTTTCTAATGAAGCTCCAGAAAGTCCATAGTTTAGGAATAAAGACTATATCCTAGGACTAGGAATTTTTCCTAGGATCAAGGGCAAAGTTAAAATAGACTTTCTCTGATAAGCCCCAAAACTAAGTCTCTAAAAGAGCAACATGATCAGTAACAACTGTGATAGATGAAAACTCAACACTCTTCAGAGGAAGAATTGAATTCAGAGTATCTTTAATGTATTATCCATATTGTCCAGCATGCAATAAAAAATTACTAGATGTGAAAAAAATGTGTCCCGTATTCAAGAGAAAAATCAGTCAATAGAAACAGATCCATAGCTAACTCACATATTATAATTAGTAGATAAGAAATTTAAAATAACTATGATAAAAATGTTATAGAATCTACTGAAATTGATGTGATAGATGAAGAGATACAGAATTTTGGGAGAAATGTGTAAATTGTAAAAAAGAAGTGAGAATTCTAGAAAAAACATTCATTGGATGTGATTAACAGAAGATAATATACAACAAAAAATAATCAAATTGAAGGTAGACTAATGGAACAATTTAAACCAAAGCATGGAAAGAAAAGGATTTCTAAAAACCTGGACTATGGGTGAAGTGGAGTAGTAAAGTGAATGCTTAGCAGTACAAGACCCTGAGTTCAATCTCAGACAGAAAGAAAAAATTAACAGTACCTCAATGACTCATGGGAAATTATCAGTTGGAGTTGAGAAGGAGTGAAGAGAGAGTAGAAAAAAAAATTTTCTTTTCTTTTCTATTTTTTGTTAGTAATGGCAAAGTTTCACATTTATTAAAGGTAGAAAAAAAATAGGCCCTGTAGCGAGAGTTTGGGCCAAGTACAAGTAGGAAAAGGGCAGAAAAAAATGCAAAACACCCTACAATGTAGGTTGAAGAAACACAACAGCCAAAACAGAAAATTTTCTACTGAGAGCTGGAAATGTAGCTTAGTGGCGGAGCACTTGTCTAGCATGTATGAGGCCCTGGATTCCATCCTTGGTCAAAGAAAGAAAAAATAGGCCAGGTGTGGTGGTACATGCCTGTAATCCCACCACTCAAGAGGCTAAGGCCGGAAGATTGCTGGAGTCTGAGGCCAGCCTGGGCTACATAGTGAATTTAAGGCCAGCCAGAACTGCATAGTGAGACCCTCCCTGTCTCAAAAAACAAAAGCAACAACAAAAAAACCCCAAAATCAAACAATCAAGCAAAGAGGGAGAAAGGAAGAAAAGAAGTTTTTCTATTGACCTATTTCTTTCTTTCAAATTTGATTTGAAAAACAAACTTCCAAGTTCTGAGTCTGGCATGTTAGGAGTTTAGGAACTGCCACTCTATCCCATCAAGTAAAGAGCTGATAAAATGGAAAAATCAACAACTTTTAGTCAGAGAAGTGAGGCCACAGGCAAACTGCTGCCTCAAACATGGAGAGTCAAAGAAGTAAACAGAGAGAATCACAATTTAGAGGAGAGGAACTCATGAGCAAAAATCTCCACAGGAAGGACCAGAGATTTAGCTCAGTGGCACTGCGCCTGCCTTGCAAGCGCAAGGTCCTGAATTTGATCCCCGGTTCAGCGAAAAAAGAAAAAATTCTCTGCAGGAACTATTTCTAAGATAGGAAAACCTACAGTATAATTGACAATTTTCTGAAGATTCAATGTAGACAAGTCTGAGAGTTAAAAGTCCAAGGGGACTCAGTTATTTCCCACACATACTATGTTCTCTCAGTGAATATCAGTGAAAAAGGCCCTTGTGCTTGCAGTAGAGAGAAAAGAAAACGAGCCATTTTGAAATATGCCAGGATATGCTGTTCTTTTTTGGGTGGGGGACTGGGGATCAAACTCGGGTCCTTGCACGTGCACAGCAGGTGGCAAAACCACTGAGCTAAATCCCCACCCCTCTTTCTTTCTTTTTTGAGGTACTGGGGATTGAACCCAGGGCCTTGTCACTGAGCTACATCCCTGACATTCACATTCTCTCTCTCTCTCTCTCTCTCTCTCTCTCTCTCTCTCTCTCTCTCTCTTTCATTTTGAGTCAGAGTCTCACTAAGTTGCCCAGGTTAGGGTACAACTTGTGATTCTCCTACCTTATCCTCCCATAGTGCTGGCATTATTGGCATGTGCCACCATACCTGACTCAGAAACATTCTCTTCTTGTTTTTCTGGTAGGGGGAGAGGGGGCGTGGATCAAACTCAGGACCCTGTGCTTGCAAGGCAGGCAGCGGAACCACTGGGCCAAACCTCCGGCCCTGAAACATTCTCTTCTTAATAAAGCCTACTCTCAGGAGAAATTAATTTGCCTGAGCCAACATGCTGGGGTTTTATTAGGACCTAACCAACATAGAAGAATGGAAATAATTCCTGTTCTCTCTAGTTTTCTATGAGGGAAAAAGGAACTATCTAATTCTTAACCCCCCCCCCAAAAAAAAACATCCTGGGAGGGGTAACAAAACAAAAACATACAAGTGCCCCATTAGCACTGGTGAAGTTCATAGTTCAGGAGCACAGGCTGACACAGAGACTAATTATCAGACTAGAGAACACTTCTCTCATCCCCACACCTTGCCACTGCATTACTAAAGGCCTATTTATCATCATTCATTTTACAAAGTATATCATGTCCATCTTTCAACAAAAAGTTACAAGGCACAGCAAAAAGCAAAAACACAGTTTTGAATACTGAATAAACATCAGAACCAGAGCCAGAAAGGACAGGAATGTTACAATTAACAGAACAAGAATTTTTTAAACCTATGATATTAAGGGAAATCGTAATATGCTAAGAGAGTTAATGGAAAAAGTAGACAACATACAAGAAGTGACTGATTGTATGGAGAGTTATAGAAATTCTAAGACATAATAAAAAAGAAGTGCTAGAGACCAAAGGTACTGCAACAGAAATGAAGAATGCCTTTGATGGGCTCATTAGTAGGCTGGACATGGCTGGCTAAGCAAAGAATCTCCAAGCTTGGTAATATAACAATAGAAATTTCCAAAAGAGAAGAGCAAATAGAGAAAAAAAAAAAAGAAAAGAAAATTCAGGAATTGTAGGACAACTATAAAATGTATAAAGATACAAAATGGGAATACATGAAAGTGAAGAGGGAAAACAATGTAAGCAATACCAGATATAATGACAGAATTTTGCACAATAATGTCAGAAACAAAACAACTTAGGAAGCTCAAAGAACATAAAGCAAGATGTATATGAAAAAACAAAACAACCAAAACCCTGATAGCTAGGCATATGTCATAATCAAACTGGAGAAAATCAAAGATCAAAAAAAATATTAAAAGGAATTAGAGGAAAAAACACCTCATTTATAGGTAAAAAAAAATTACACTAGACTTTTCCTTAGACACTATGAAAGCAAGGGCCGGGGATTTAGCTCAGTGGTTTGGCCGCCTGCCTTGCAAGCAAGTGCAAGGACCTGAGTTTGATCCCTGGTACCAAAAAAAAAAAAAAAATGGGGCTGGGGATTTAGCTCAGTGGTGCCGTGGCCTGCCTCACATGCACAAGGTCCTGAGTTCGATCCCCGGTACCAAAAAAAAAAAAAAAAAGAAAAGAAACTATAGGGCCAGGGATCTAGCTCAGTGGTTTCACCGCCTGCCTTGCAAGCGGAAGGACCTGAGTTCGATCCCCGGTACCAAAAAAAAAAAAGAAAGTAAGAAACTATGAAAGCAAGAAGCGAATGGAGTGCAGTATTTAAAGTGTTGAGAGAGAAGAAAAACCTCCCAGAGTGCTGAGTTTACAGGTGTGAGCCATCACACCTGGCTAATGGAAATATAATTTTTGGTTAAGAAAGGAAAGAAAATAAGACTCATATAAAGTTGTCAATAAAAAACACAAAAGGCAAAAGACTGGGAGACAAAAATAGGAACAAAGAGCAAGATCAAGAAATAGAAAACAGTGGAAAAAATATGGCAGATGTTAATCCAATTATCTCGATAATTGCTTTAAACATTGGTGGTCTAAAAATGTCAATTAAAAGGTGAAAACTGTTAGAGTAGCCCCTAAAATGAGACATGGCTATGTGCTGTCTACAAGAAACTCATTTTAAATATAAATATATGTTTAGATTAAAAGTAAAGCGACAGAGAACAATATACCATGCTAACACTAGTCAAAAGACAGAGCCAACTTCAGAGCGAGGAAAGTTATCAAGGAACAAGGATAAGCACTGCATAATGATAAAGAGGTTAGTTCTACAAGAAGACATAAAAGTCCTTAATGTATATGTGTCTAACATATGAATGAATCCTTGAACAGTCTCCACTATTACAGTCAGAGACTTTAATAGTCTGTCAGAAATGAACCAATTCAGGAGGCAGAAAGTCAGAAAAGGACACTGAACT